GTGTGTGTGTGTGTGTGTGTGTGTGTGTGTGTGTGAGAGAGAGAGAGAGAGAGAGAGAGAGAGAGAGAGAGAGAGAGAGAGAGAGAGAGAGAAAATCCCCTGAGTGCCTCCAACGGGGACAAGGGCACACTAAAAAGATCGATGGTACCGGTAGGGGCATATCGGAAATTTTCCCAACGGCTATCCGGTAGGGGCATGATGCAAATTTCATGTGGGTCCGGTCGGGGCACTACGAAAACATATGAGGCCCAAACAACACCAGGGATTTATGGAAAATTTGACTTCTGGTCAGAAGGGCGCGACAGGGTAAATCGGCTGTCGGAGGGGCGCGGCGCAAATTAATGGAAAATACAGGGGCGCCAGACAAAGTTTCCCTGTAATTTTTCATCGAAATTGAAATCCACTTATTTGGCCAAAAAAAAAATGTCACCTTATTTATCTCCTAAGGTTCCGTCTGGACCTCGCTGAAGTCCAGATACATCCAAGGGGGTCCGGCGTTTTCAGACGGTGGCATTCTTCGGGCCAAATAAGTAGGTTTCAATTTCGTTCAAAGAACATAAAATGTCCATTTTAACCAAATGGCTGTTTAAGGGCCTACCGACTTGTATCTTCTATAAAGTTTTACCGACTCTTTCCTATACTTTTTTTTCTTTCTTTCTTTTTTCCTATACTCACCAGTACCTATTAGAATCTTCCTACAACTGCCTATGGTCCTACAGGTACTACTAGGCCTGGGAATATGGTACAAGGGAGCAGGCATGGGAAACTGGGACTTTGGACTGGAACTGGGACTGGGACTGGGAACAGGGCAGGGAACTGTGAGATCCTTCCACGTTATCTCATGTGATTTTTATTTATTTTATGAACTTCGTTTTGGTTTTGAATTGATTTTATCTTTTATTCGATTTCACATTTTATTTTATTTTCCTGATGTGATGCTCACCTCTTCAAGAATTTTACTATGGGCGTCGTTAGACAGTCCTCGGGGACACGAAATCCCCAAGGAATTGTTTGTTCCACCTATCCTCGGGGATGCAATTGGAATTTGGAAAAAAAAAAGTCAAAACACTGCCATTTCGTCAAAATGGACATCTTATATTTTTTGAACGAAATTGAAACCAAGTTTTTTGGCCGAAAACTCGTCAAAATTTGCTGTTCCTAAGGGCCCGGCGTTTGTAAAACGCTGGACCCCCTGGCTGTACATGGACCTAGCTTGAGACCAGGTACCTCCAGGCAGTCCTACCTGGGGGTGCCTGGTCTCAAGCTGGGTCCATATACAGCCAGGGATGGACCCTCAGGAACAGCAAATTTTGACGAGTTTTCGGCCAAAAAACTCGGTTTCAAATTTCGTTCATTAAAACACTCGTAAGGAAATTCCTCGGGCAATAGGAATTTCCCCAGCTGTTTCATCCTATTGCCCTTGGGCACAACGAATCCGCGTTTCACGGAGAGGGGGGGGCACACGCGTAGAGAGACGTTACAGCCGAGAATCTGGATCATGGCGATACCCTATTGGCTGAAGGCCTGAAGCACGACTGTTTTTTTCTTTTTTTTCTTTTTTTCTTTTCTGACATCGCTCTTAGGAAATGTCCTCGGCCAACGTCCCCCAGGACAGGTGGAACGCCAGTCCCAAATTTCCTTCTGAACCATTAGGAATTTTTCCTATTGCCCAAGGATTTCAAAAGGAGTGTGCCTGAGGACAGGTGAAACGTCGGTTCCAAATTTCCTTTTTGAACCATTAGGATTTTTTCCTATTGCCCAAGGATTTTGAAAGGAGTGTCTAACGACACCCTATGTCTTTTGTATGTGCAGATTCCAAGCAAGGAAGACACGTTCATTGAATGTTGTGGAAGGTGTTGGCCACAAGCAATGTACCTGTTCGACCGCGACAAGCGGGTGCGGCCAGAGTGTCCAGACCCCTTTTCAGAATACCGATCATTGCTCCCCCAAGCAGCAGGTCCACGCATCGACAACATGAACGCAGGGGGTGAGAAAAAGCCGGCAGCTCGCAGCCTTAGCCCGAAACCATCGGTTGGGATCACAGCAGGGTTCGGTCGTGGAGGAGGAGGACCTATCGTTGTGACATTTGCCGTCGCTTGTCGGCCCGGGGAGACGATCGAGAAGTCGATCGACATTGGCAATGCAGGGGCACATATCTCAGAGAAGGGCAAGATGGGAGGTCAGGGACAGAGCCAGGGGCAAGGAGGAGAGTTCTCAATAGAGGGACTCGGACCGGGTTCCGAGGCAACGCTAAAGGGGTTCTCCGTCGATCTGCCGCGATCGAGTGTTGAAGCTGGAGGGCGGCGGAAAGTGACCTTCAAATTCACCGCACCAAGCCCTAAAAGTGGTCAGTCCTCACAATTCAGGACTTTGGCAGAATTGGGTTTGGAGGAGTGGATAGAAGCCCCTGTCACTTGCATTTTCAAGGGGGGAACCCCTCCTCCAGAACCGGAAAGGGAGAAAATGGTCCTCCTCCTCAAGGCTTATGTCACAGGCCGCAAATCATTCAAGAAAGTTGTGGTCCCTCAGAGATCTATGCAAGCTGCATGAAGTCTTTTTCTCTTTTTTTTTTGGGGGGGGGGGGGGGGGGGGGGCAGGGGGGGGGGGAATTGCATCTGTACCCCAATTAAAGAGATGGGAATACCTGCTATACCCAGTCCCAGCGCCCAAATTGCGTCTATACCCAGAGGGCGTTCAACTTTGCATACTGGCCCCCTTCTTCCCTGTCTCTTATACACATCTAGATGTGTATAAGAGACAGGCTATACCCAGTCCCAGCGCCCAAATTGCGTCTATACCCAGAGGGCGTTCAACTTTGCATACTGGCCCCCTTCTTCCCCTGTGGGAGATTGTAGGTAGGTGTACCCAGTCCCGCAGAGGGCCTGGATTCAGAGAACGGCATTATGGTCATGCCCACCAAGTAAGACGGTTGTGGCCCAACGGCTGCTGGTTATGAGCATAATTTCAGCCATCCGTGTAGCAGGGTATATGAACAATTTGGCCTCTCCTCCTCAGGTCCCGGGTATGCCCATAATTTTGCCTGGGTATGTCCATAATTTGTGCATTCCGGTAGTCGGTTACAACCGCAATTTTGCGGCACCATCCTGGGTCCACCCAGTCCTGGGCATGCAAACAATTTTCCACCAGCCGTTTTCTGTGTATAGACGCAAGTTGGTGCTGGGACTGGGTATAGCCCGTATTCCCATTTTAAGTGGGGTACAGATGCAATTTTCCATTTTTGCCCCCTTTCTTTTTTAATTCTCCCCTTTTTTTTTTCTTTTTTTTTTGTTGAAAGTAGAAGAATTTGGACCGTTTCTCTATTTATGCGTGTCATCCTTACTTGCGCAGGAGCCGGGACCCACTAGCATCGATTTACGCTTCGGCTCCATGGTTTTCAACCACGTGCGGCGAGAGGTGCGGCAACCGTTGATCCTTTTGTGTATCGTCGGCGCAGGGCGATAAGGACTGAATTTAGTAGGGTATCTGTCCGCCAGCCAATAGAAGAGTTTCGTTTTCATTTTTTTGCCCATTTAGCTAGCCACTTTGCGTTGGCGCGAAGCTGCAATATTAGGGAGGTCCGACGGGGGGGGCGTTTTTGCATCAATGTTTTCTTTTTTTTTTAATGTGGTAAAATAGAGAATATTGAGATTTCCGTGGAAGACTGCGAACAGGCCGGCGGGAAGGTCGAATGCAGATGTACCGGGTTGGTGGAAGTGTGGATGCACTGAAGTTCTGTCATGATGTAGATGTCAGGCCCCGTAATTTTTCGTTTTTTGGGTCCTTTTCTTTGCATTCGTGTAAATGATAAAAAGCATTGTTTATGCGTTTTTAAATGAGAAAAGAATGCCACACACTGATTGACTCTATGCTAGTGGGTCCCGGCTCCAGGGGCCATGCTAATCTTGTCTCTATCATTCCAATTTTTAATGGTCCATGATGTGCTGAAGGACTGC